GGGGCTGGGGTAGCGGGTTAAGGCGCTTGCAATAGGTAATCAAAGTTAAGCAACGCCGAGCGTGGCTAGACTTTCCTTGTTGGATGGGGGACCGTCCAACAAGGAAAGCCATGCTGCCCGAGATTCCTTCACTCCCCCTGGTAGGTTAGGCCCGTCAACCTATTGGAGGCAACTCACACCGACCGCGCGTAGGATTGATGATCCTACCCTGTACTTTAAATCAGGAATCAGGATGTGGTCTAGTACACCACACTCGCGGTCAAAGATCTTCATGGTCTGTAGCGCCAACCGAAGAAATAAAATATATATATATATATATATATATATATATATATATATATATATATATATATATATGGGGGTGGTGTAGCGTTGCGGGCTAAGCCGCTTGCAATAGGTAACCAAGTTAAGCAATGCCGAGCGTGGTTAGCACTTGGATGGGTGACCGCCCGATTTGGGTGACCGTCCACCAGGGAAAGCCACACTGCCCAAGACCCCCACCCGCCGGTTCGTGAAGCCCTTAAGTCTACTTGAGGCAACTCACACTAACCGGGCGTAGGACTGATGACCTTACCCCATGTACTTAAATCAGGAATCGGGATATGGTCTAGAAGATCACACTCGTGGTCAATGATATACAAGGTCTGTAGCGCCAACCGAAAAAAAATAAAAATATATATATGTATATATACATATATATATACATATATTCAAATCTGTTCTGATTAGATAAATTTAAAAAATCTTAACATTAAATCGAAATGATGTAAACATAAAATGTTTAATAAAATTAAACGTTTTATGTTTACATCATTTCAAGTTAGCAAATATCAACCTTTTAACATTATTCCAATATTTTTTATGAGATTTATTTAATAATTCTCTTGCTGTCCAGAACTTTATTTATGTTTTGCATATATATTTTTTTTTTTTTTTTGTTTGGAAAATACCTAATATAACAAATAAATTATTATGTATTTAATAAATAAGAGTATTCAATAATAAGGTTGCATGAAAATATTTCCATTCACTTCTGTAAATTTAAGCGTGTTCATTTTAATAAACATGAATACAGCCGTATTTACTTGTACAACTGTAAATACAGCCGTATTCACTTTTAAAGTGGTGAATACAGCCGTATTTATATTTACAGCTGTGAATACGTACCATCTGTATTCATATCATTTATATTAAAAAGTGCCATAAATATAAATGGTATTCGTATTTATATTTTTGAATATAAATATGCCCATCTCTGAAGAAAGGGCCTGATATTAAATGTTGGAAAAAGCAAGGTGATGCACATAGGTTGGGAAAAAGGAAGTTGTCGTTTACTGCTGAGAAGAAATCTTGGAGACAGCGCGCGCAGGAGTACACTTATCTCAGAGTAGTGCTCAGCAGAAATGGAAAAATGAACCAAGAGCTCCCAAACAGAAATAAGAAAGCTAATAGTATATACTACCAGCTATGCAGCAAAGTGATGGAGAAAAGGGAATTGGAAAATAGTATAAAATTACACATCTTTAAGTCCATATACTTACCTACCCTTATCTATGGAAGTATGACCTTGCTCCTGCTGGACAGGCACTGAAATAGAGCTACTGCTGCAGAAATGAAGTACCTCCAGAGAATAGTAGGAAAAACAAGGAAAGATAGAGTTAGGAATGAAAGGATATGGGGAGACCTGAAAGTGCCTGCTTTGAAAGAATTAGTCGAAAAAAAGCAGTTGGTATGGTTTGATCATTTATGCAAAATGTATAAGGACTGTAACCCAAAGAAGTTTTTTGAAGCCAGGCCTACCGGACACCGTCCTCGAGGAAGACCTAGATTATATGGATAGACCACATCTCCAGCATTGGCAAAAAGAAGGGAAAGTCCATGAATTCAATGAAAACGCTGGCTCGGGATTGGGAAGCTTGGAAGTTCTGGATGAGGGCACCTCCATGCTGAGAGGCACTAAGGAAGATGATAAAGAAGAAGAAGAAAATACAGGAGAGAGATAAGCTAATGGATCATAAATTCGTGCAATGGTTGATAAAACAGATCGCTTTGTATTAAAGGATGGTGAACAATTGGTATGATAGGAAAAATCATCCTTGGTTGGTAGCCATTGCATTCCTAGAATTTTAATTGCAAAGTCCTTTTTTGGATTTAACTTTACTGACCTTCATGATACTCATTAGGTATTATATTTAAAATATATTTAGAATTACTGGCCCATTTTTTTAAACAAAAATCCTCCCCTTTCTAAAATAGATATTAGCTGCTTCTGAAAATCTAACGTTTCTTCTATTGAATCGGAACCACTGGCAATGTCATCAACATATAATATATGCCTTGAGAAAAAACTTGTGCTGCTTTAGGGAAATATTTTCCTTTTTCAGTTGTCAACTATTTGATCACTCCCAATGCCAAGAAGGACAAAACTGAAATGTTATAAATGATGTTTAAACTCTTTGAGGTGAACAGTGCAGGTTGTCCACCAGAAAATATGTTGACAGCATTGATAATGCTCATGAAGCTCAATCTGGCGATAAATTTTGCAAATATCAGCTTTAAATGCAATTTTGTGGATACAAAAGTTTAAAATAATATCTACAATGTTCAGTTGTAATTTAGGTCTGTAATAAAGCCATTCATTTAGCGAACCATTCTTACAACGCATTAACATATCGGAAACGGCTCTAACCTTGTTTAAAGAGCCCTTAGTTTTAACAACAGAATGGTGTCGAATTATATAATTACCTTGATGCTTAGTGAACTTCATATGTCCAAGTTGTGTTTGTACTCATCCATAAAGCGTGTGTATGATTTTTTAAGATCTTAATTCTTAGACAACCTAGACTCCAATGTGAAAAAATGTTTCAAAGCCTTCTGTCTTCCATCAAGCTTGTCTGGAGGTATGCATTTAAATGGTAATCGAACGCCATATCATCCTGATGGTAATCTGTAATGGGTTTGTACAAAATGATTATCACAAATAACATCATCTGGATTTAAAGGAGTTTTTTGTGGAGCTGGTTCTTCTATTTCCCAAAATGTTTTGATTAAACTGTCTATGTAGAAAATGGTGAAGCTATGTAACACAACATTGTAGTATTGCCCTGCAACTACCCAATCAAACACCATTTTAATTAAAGCTGCATCTTTACCCTCAATTTGCTGCATTCCTCTCTGAACTACTTTGCCGAAGAGATCAGTTCCTAAAAGTATATCTATTTCTCCCAGTTCATAAAAATTTGGATCAGCTAAATGATATGAAGCAATTTTCTGTCGAAAGCTGAATGGGACAGGACTGGTTCTTAGTTTACCTGTAATATGTAAGAAAATTATTGCATCAGTAGAAAAGAAAGAGCCATGACAATTTTGTGGTTTTAATATGCAATGCACAGAACCTATTCTCTCGGTAAAATGCTCCTACACCTGAAAGAGTTCTTTTTTCTTTCTTAGCATAGAGCTGAAAGGCATCCAAAGTGATTTAGTGATGAGTGAGCACTGTGAACCAGAATCCAGTAAAAGAAATACAGGTCTAAATCTTGAATTGTCTTTTAAATGAGCAATAGCAGTACTTAACAAAATATAACTAGTATTTTGCCATGTACTGGTCATTATGGAAGATGAGGAAGCGAGAAGTGTGTTGTGAGTAATCAAGGCTTCTGACCGATTATTTGCCTGTCGAATTTCTTGCTCGTTTGAATTTTTGAAAGTAAGCAATGAATTGTGCAGTTTGTTACAATATTTATAAAACTTCTTCTTTTGGCAATCTTTTGTGTTTTGTATTAAGGAAAGATGATATCGACGCCCTTTAAAATTTTCCAATGAGTCCCATCATTCTTTCTCAGACTTTTCCTTAAAATGTGGTCAATCAACTAGTCAGTGGTTTAACGGACATTTATTACTTTTTGGAACTTCAGATTGACCACTACAAATAAATTAAAGTGCAACTAACACCTTCTGACTAAGTTGAGGCTACTCCATAGTAAATAACAATAGTGAAAGAAGTTAAATAAATAAATAAGGACATAACATAATACCAACTTTTACTATAGATTTACTTCAGATTTTGGTCCCAAAATTATGCAGTCTTCAGGAAAATCAGATCCCCAAATGTCATTACAATTCATTTCCTCTACCTCACTATGCACAGCATTATTCTAAGCATATTTGGAAGTATTATCGTTTTTTGGAGATAATCCACTATATTTATATTTTCCACTCGATCTGCTATCCGATTTTTGAGCACCATCAAGATAAAATGTATCAAAATATTTACTCACTGGCGGTTTACTATTTCTATTCATTATCAAGTCAATTTAACAATCCACCAATAAACATTACAACAATCAAACAAGAGGGAAACTCAATGTCTAAATGAGAACCTTTAAAAGAAAGAGGCTACTAATTCATTCTCATCGCTCACTTGGGATGTTCAATGTGTACACTATAATTGATAACAATTAAAAGAACTTGTTTTTAAATAAACTTGTCAACCTTCCAAGCTCAAAAATAATGAATGAATGAATGAATGGTATGGAGATGGTTGACTATAAATTCTAATTTCAGAAGAAGTTAGTCGGGTGTGCGATCAATATATAAAATACTTATATAATAGTATATTTTATATATTGACTGCTCTCCTGACTAACTTCTTCTGAAAAAAAAATACATCTATAAAAGTTTGCTATAAATTCTGACATACAAATAGCTATATGTGTTGGATATCATAGAGTGATGTATTGTCTTTTTTGAACTGATAATGGACCTGGTCTGGAAATATGAGATCTTGGTTGTTTTTGTTAAAGCACATTAAAGGGTTAATTATTTTAAATATTCAAGGTTTTGTGTTTGGAATTTTCCAATTATATCCTAGTAATTAATTTATGTCTAGTTTTGAGTTTTACTCTTTTATATAAATACAGAATGTATTAATTTATACTTTATTGTAAGGGACAAAGAAACTTTATTTAATTATACTTCAAATAGACTAAACTTATTTTTAGCTTACTGGACAGCACTATAAAGAAAGATCAGCAAGGATGGGTAAGTAAAGTTGGTGTCTTATTTAATTTAAACTTTTTAAAACTTCTTTATGTTATTAAAACCGAATAAACTTTAATATCTATGTTTTAGCATTTCGTTTTTAATTTTTTTACAGGTTGAAGCAATAAAATCTCCCCTATTAACAATAAATAAAAAGTCTCCCACTAGGCAGATGATTGTTTTAAGGTACATTTTGTTAGATCTCAAAATATCTTGTTAAATTAAATTATACTTTATTAATTATTTCTTTGTATATATTTTAGGGATAATGCCTGTTGCTCTGATGCTGAAAAGGAGTTTCTAACTTGTGCACTGTCTACTTTTAACAAGATAAAGAACAATATGAAAGTAATTTATTTTTGTTCACTTCATAGTATTTTTCGCTACTTTCTGTTTGAATAATATCTAGCTATTGCTTTCTTAAAATTTGATTAATAATCTATGAAGATATTAGATTATCTATTGGGTCTTTTCAAAAGATTTTCATTTCATATTTTTTATTTATTTTGAAAGATTTTTGGTACTACAGTAAAATGTCTTTCTGATATTAGATTGGATACAGTAATGAGGAAGATAAAGGGAAAAAAAGAAAATTTTCAGAAGACAGCTCAAGACATTCAAAGTAAGATTTAGTTTATGAGTATATATATATCTTTTTTTTTTTTTTTTTTTTTTGGCTCTACAGACCTTGTAGATCTTTGGCCGCCTTAACCAGCCTTCTCCACCTCTGCCTATCTTGGGCTACTGCTTTCCAGTTTGCGGCATGAAGCTCAGCCGTATCTTTGTTTATCCTATCTATCCATCTGGTTTTTGGCCTCCCACGTGGTCTCTTGCCTACTACTCTGGCATTCATTGTCGTGTAGAGGCGTCCTGATGGATTACTACGAGCTACATGCCCTGCCCATCTTAACCTCCTTGCCTTCATGTCATGAGATATTGACTGACCCGTTTCTTTCAACAGTTCTTTATTGTTCCTTCTCCTCCATGTGTCAAGGTTCTGGTCCCATATAGGTCCTGTTATCCTACGTAGAACTTTTCTTTCGAATCTCTCAATTCTGGCTTCTAATGTGCCTGTTAGAGCCCAGGTTTCACAACCGTACAGCAGAACTGGCTTAATCACGGCGTTGTACACCCTTATTTTGAGATTTCTGGAGATTTTTCTGGATTTCAGTACCTTTGAAAGAGAGAAGAAAGATCTGTTCGCACTTGTTATTCGCTGGTCTATCTCTGTTAGTTTATCATTTATTGAGGTTATTGTGGAGCCGAGGTATTTGAATCTGTCTACTTTCGGGAATGACTTAGAATCCACGCAGATCATGTTATTAGGGTGGATGTTTCGGCTAACTATCATGTATTTTGTTTTATCTACATTGACCTGTAGTCCGATTTCCTCTGCTTCTTTTAATAGAGTCTGAGGGAGTCTCTCAATATCCTCTTGATTACTTCCGAGGTCAGCTATATCACCGGCATATGCTAGGATTTTATGTTTCATTCCAACATACACCCCTCCATCTTCGCGTGACGTTATTCTTATTACTTTCTCTAGTGCTAAGTTGAACAGCATCGGCGAGAATCTATCTCTCTGCCTCAAACCCGTTCGAACTTCAAAGGCTTCAGATACGCCTCCTTGTATTAGTACCCTGCGTATATATATATATATATATATATATATATATATATATATATATATATATATATCATAGGTGGTAAATAGTCAGGACACAGTCATTATACAAATTTTTTTATTTGTGCCAACGTTTCACCCAACATCTCGGTCATCTTCAGGGCTGAAAATTTTAAAATACAATCAGAGATATAATATTATACGACCAATAATGGTAAATAATAAACTATAGTGAGTGATTGATGGTACATGAATCTTAGCTATTATTACAATACACAATGTTAAAAATTAAATATGCAAAAAGTTATACAAACTAAAAATAATATATATAATCTATTTATAAAAATTTGTAATATTTTCTCTTACTAACCATGGTTCGAGCACTGAATGCTTTCCAGTACTGACACATTTGGTAGGTAAGTGAAAAGGTAACAATATTAATCATAATAGAAGTATGTATTATATTAAGGATTACATAGTTTTAATAGTATAAGTATAAACGTATCTTTCTCTGTTTATAGTATATATTTATATTGAGAATGGGCATTATATGTATATATATAATACCCATATATATAATGGCCTTCCGCGTGGTCTTTTGCCTTCTGTAGAGGCATTCATTGTTGCGTAGAAGCTTCCAGACCAGATGTATTGCTACGAGCTACATGCCCCACCCATATTGTCCTATTATATTGTCCTACGTATCTTTTCAATCCATTACAATTGTCTTTATTATAAATATTATTTGGATAACCATTGTATACCTTCAATTAAACTATGTTATATTTATATTGATTGGCACCTCTTGCTTACTAGCCAATAGTCACAATTCTGTACCCATAAGAAACAAAGCAAATCTTGTACACATCTTGAATATTTAGTCAGCAAATTATTTACATTCTACAAACAGAAATATTACCTCCCTCCTCCCTCTGACTATGTTTACCTACCTTTTGCTATCTGAAAAAGGACAACTGGGAAATCCTCCCCCGACCCTTTCACTTACCTACCAAATGTGTCAGTACTTGAAAGCCTTCAGTGCTCGAACCACGGTTAGTAAGAGAAAATATTACAAAATTTTTATAAATGGATTATATACATTATTTTTAGTTTATATAACTTTTTCATTTGTAATATTGTGTATTATAATGTTAGTTAAGATTCATGTACCTTCAATCACTATAGTTTATTATTTACCATCATCGATTGTATAATAATATATCTCTGATTGTATCTTAAAATTTTCAGCCCTGATGACCCACATGTTTGGGTTGAAACGTCGGCTCATGTAATGACTGTGTCCTGAATATTTATCACTCAAGATGAAATTTACTTAAAATGAACATAGAGTTTATCATTGTGAAAACTGTTTATAGAGGACTTTTGAGTGGCTAAACTAAGCTAAGTTCTGTTTTTAGAAAAATCATGAATTATTCGCAATTTTTTTTTTATCATCATCAAACTATACTACATTTTTCCCACTTTTATAAAAACTAAATTATTATTTATAAATAATACATAAACAACTATAAAAAATAGAAATAAAGTTTTATCAATAATATTTATAGTTGTAATGTGGGAAAAGGAAAAAAAAAAAGAAATATAGAAAAAATAACAAAAGTAAGAGAAGAAAAAGCATTGATTTTTTATGTTAAAAACATAAACAATAGGATAACGCAATACAAATTCTAACAATATATACAGTAATTAAAAAAATAATCTGTAAATACAAAAAAGTTAAATTAAAATTAAATCTTTTCGAGAATAATTATAATTGTAACGGGAAGGAAAAATATATGAAAAGAAAAAAATACAGGCTTACCCCTAACCATTACTTATATGTATATATATTTTTTTCTCTTTCCCCATTGCAACTATAATTATGCTAAAGGAGATTTTTCTTTTTGTTATTTACTCATTATTATTTAAATTACTGCAAATATGCTATAATTTTTATTAGATTTGCCTACTATTAATGTTTTAACATCAGAAATCAATGCTTTTTCTTCACTTACTTTTGCTCATTTGTCTTCTTTCCAGGTTTTGCTTTTTCTTTTTATATATATTTTTTATATATATTATAATAAATTAACTTGAAAATAAATAGTATGCACCGAAGAAGAAGTGAGAAATATTGTGTATATATTTTTCCTTCCCGTTACAATTATAATTATTCTCGAGAAGATTTTATTTTTTGTATTTACAGGTTATTTTTTAAATTTCTGTATATACTGTTTGAATTGAATTTATATATATATATATATATATATATATATATATATATATATATATATATATATATATATATAACTTACGATCGTCTGAACAGGAAAGAATAAAAAAAAGAAAGAAAGGATAGCAAATAACACACTCGGTTGCTCGGTAAAGACTGACTTTATTCTCTCCGTAATGCTATATATATAGCATTACGGTTTGTTTATACTTTACAGATAGGATTAAATATTATATTATCTTACATCTAACCATAACTCCCCCCCGCCAGTTTATGAACATACCTCATAAACTAATGCAGGGCTACCGACATAATACATAAACAACAAAAATAATCTCCACTAAAGTTCATACAATAGCAATAGTAATAAAACAAAATAAAATTAAAACACTGTCATCTTACAACATCCTCGAACAAAACAAAAAGAAAGTGAAACAAAATCAAATAACCGTTTAACGTCTGTCCCTAGCTTGTAGGAGGCAGAAAAGAGGATATACCACATAATTATTTTAATGACTCCGTCTCTATCGGGAGCTTTAACTGTTCTATGTGCACGGTCCTCCTTTTTCTGGGATCCTTCAGACTTTGGATTGTGCAAATATTGTGCTCGCGAAGCACGATTACCTTGAATGGTCCTTCGTAGCGTACCAATTCCTTCCCCCTATTGGATCCGACCCTCCGATAGACTATCGTCCCTATTTTCAATGTACCCATTCGATCTTTGAGGTTCAAATTAACCTTTTCCACCCTCTTCCGCTTCTCTCTCTCTATTCTCCCTTTCGTTTTCTCCCACACTTTCCTTATTTCCGCTCTGTTACACGTTATCTGTTGAGCGTGGTCCTCGCTCGTGACTGTTTCCCTCCAATCTCGACGCCGTATATTTATCCCGAACAGTACCTCGACTGGGGAAAACCCTGTAACGGAGTGGATTGAATGGTTGTAGGCCGCTACCGCCCTCTGCATTGCTACGTCCGCTTCTAAACCCTGCTCCCCCTGGTATATACGTAAGTGATCGCTTAGGGTGCTATGCAACCTCTCAATACCTCCCCTGCCCTTTGGATGTCCCGGCGTATTGAAGTGCCAAACTATATCCAAGCGCTTCGCTTCTTCTCGGATGATACTGCTGTCGAACTCCCTGCCTCCGTCGGATGTTATGCGATCTGGCACTCCGTAGAACTGAGCCCACGTTTGGAGAGCTCCCACGACAGCCTCCGACGACCTATCCTGTACCCGATGTACCATCGCCATTTTACTAAAGAGGTCTATCATTGTGACCCATTTAAAGCCCCTCCATGTAAATGTGTCAATTTGCACCTCTTTCAACGGCATATCTCCTGTAGGGGTTTCCTCTTGTAATCCTTGAGGCGGTCGTCTATCATACTTAGTGCGCGCGCAAACCTCGCACATCCCAATGACTTCCGAGATCGTTTTCCGCATGTCATCCCAGAAATATCTCCTGCGCAGTGCCTGGAATGTTTCCTGTACCCCCGATGATTCGTCTTGCCTTGATGATGTGCCAGTGTTACCTCCTTCTGCTGTTCTCTATCCGTTAATGTTTCGACTAAATATCTACAGCGAATAAAAGACCTGTCCAAGCCCAGTTTTTCTGTTCTCCAGATCTTCTTGATTTTCTCCCATATTGTCGCATTCCCCACGTACAGATAGTGAACTTTTCCCGGCTCCGAAGCGTCATGCAAGGCCCTGCAAATCTGTTCTTCCTTCGCCCCTGGTTGGGACCAAATGGTGGTAACCTTCCTCTTCCCATATTTACTAAAATCCATCTTCATAAGCCCCGATGTTCTGGTCTTCCAAATCACCTGTCGGCGCTTATCATTGATCATCTCGTCACACTCTTCCATGTCTGTGGGCCTCTCGTCCACTGAGCTTTCTTCTCCTCTTGATTCCCCTGTTCCCGCGTTCTCGGGTTCCCCTTCGCCTTCCGGTGTCCACGCTCTCAGAAACTGCCGGACGTCCCGCGATGACTCTCCTTCTTCCTCCTCGATGGCATTTATCATTATTGCTCTGGACAGCCAGTCTGCTACCACATTCTCCTTGCCTGGTTTATACCTGACTTCCATATTATATTGGCTTAAGAACTGCTTCCATCGAGTGACTCTCGCCGATGATTCCTTCAGGTTGCCTACCCATTGCAATGGTTTGTGGTCGGTATGCACCTTAAACTTCCGGCCAAAAATATACGGTCTAAAATGCCCGACCGCCCATACTATGCCCAGGAGTTCCCTTTCCAGAGCGCTATACCTCGTTTCCGCTTCCGTGAGTCGCCGACTCGCATACGCTACCGGTTGTTCTCCGTCAGTTCCTTCCTGCGCAAGTACTGCCCCTAACGCATACTCACTTGCATCAGTGGTGATAATAAACACCTTGTTAAAATCGGGAAACGCAAGTACCGGCTTTTCCTGTAACCTCGCCATGCACTTCCTCACGTTGTTTTCTATTGCTGGTGTTATTACGATCTTCCGGCCTTTCTTTAGAAGATTATTGAGAGGTGCTAAATATTCCGCCATTTCCGGAACAAACCGACGATAATAGTTCAACGTTCCCAATAATCTCCGGATCCCCTTGACATCTCTGGGCATCACCATGTTTTGTATCGCCTCTACCTTCTGCTTATCAGGCTTGATCCCTTCTCTCGAAATTGAGTGTCCCAAAAAATTGATCTCATCCTGCCCCAGAGTCGACTTTTCAGCAGACAATTTCAATCCCAACTGCTTCACTCTGTCGAATACGCGGCGCAAATGACCAATATGTTCCGTTTCATCTTTACTGAAGACCAGGAGATCATCCATATATACCTGGCAGAATGCTTCATCCAGTCCCCTCAAAAATTCGTCCATAAACCTCTGGAAGGTTATAGGAGCGTTCTTCAACCCGAACGGCATGCGAGTAAACTCATAATGCCCCCTTTCAAATGAAAAAGCTGTCTTATGTTGGTCCCTGGGGTGCATACGTATCTGATGATAACCTGCCTTTAAATCGAGAGTGCTGAAGATGGTGGCTCCGCTCAGTCTGTCAATGATGTCCTCAAATCGTGGGAGCGGGTATTTCTCGTCTAAGGTATTGTCGTTGAGCTTTCTGAAGTCTACCACTACCCTATACTTCTCCTCCCCTGTCGTGGTCTTCTTCTTCACTGCCCATAGGGGACTGTTGTACGGTGACGTGCTATCCACGATTATGCCTTGCTTTTTCAAGCTCTCTATCTCTTCCTTGATGTGTCGCCGTAGCGCTTGCGGATAACGTCGTTCCTTAACATATGTCACTTTTTCCTGTTTTAAAGGAATTTCATGGACCGTCTTCCCTGTTGCAGTCAACACTTCCCCGTCTTTAAAAAAGATATCTGCGTACTCCCTCTTCATCCTCTGTACCCAATGTTCCGCTTGTTCTATTGCCCCGACATTCCCTGTCCCGTTCACCCTCGATTGCTTACACCGATACTTCTTCCCTCCCATTCGAACAACCCAACCCGTACTCCTGTAATCTATCCTCGGCCTTACCTTACTTAATAAGTCACAACCTATTATGCCTCCGTACTCTCTCGGCATGTTCTCCACCACGTGAACCCTCAATTTCCCGATTCCGGCCACCCATCGGTCCAGGTCTAATTCTACCTCCCCCTCAACTCACCACCGCCTGTACACCACTCGATTCCACCCATTCTCATTCTCCTCGTCACCCCGAGCTGCTTCTTCATCCCGGGCGCTTGCGTCGATCATATCCTGGGCACATTCTACAAAATTCTTCTCCCTGGGTAACCCATCCTTTTTACCTGTATCTCGGGCCAGCTGCACTTTAAGTATTGTCGACAGGAACGCCATCCTGGCTCCTGTTTCGACCGCATCTGCTACTTCTCTCGTCTTCTCGATTACACTGTTGAACCGTGCCAACAAATTCGCTGCGTATTGTCCATTCGTCTGGTGAGGCTGTTTCCTTTCTCGAAACATCTGCAGGATGTCTTCCTCGGGAGCCCACCGACCTCCTCCGAACGCCTTCTTCAGCCTATCCTTCACCGTGTTCCATGGGGTGTCCTCATCCGCCTGGATCATGTTTAACACACTTCTCTTAACTCGGCACACCAAAGCCGCCCTCAACGCGTTCGCATCCATCGAATCTATCAAATTCTCCCCTTCTTTGGCCAGAATTCGCGATATCACCCGATCACCTCCCTTTAGAAAATGGTTTAACTCACCCACTCCTCCGTCAAACCTTTCCAAATCGGATATCGCCCTCCTGAGATCCTGAGACGTCGCCGTTCTCACCTTCAGCCATTCCAAGGTCGTCGCATGTGCTGACGCTAACGTTTCAGTGAGTAGCGGAGGAAAATCCCTTGCCAACGCTTCTGCCAGTGAAGGAAACGCCGGCGGTGGAGCCAATGGTGCTGCCGGTGGCGGTGGCGCGATCGTCTGTGCCACCTGTGGTGTAGTCGGTACTGGCGGTTGTCCTGTTCCGTTCGGCATCCTTTCTTCTGATTACTCCTCGTGAGAAAAAATAAAAAAAAGAAAAAGAAAATTTTACTGAATCTAAAGATCCCGGGTTTCGGCACCACTTACGATCGTCTGAACAGGAAAGAATAAAAAAAAGAAAGAAAGGATAGCAAATAACACACTCGGTTGCTCGGTAAAGACTGACTTTATTCTCTCCGTAATGCTATATATATAGCATTACGGTTTGTTTATACTTTACAGATAGGATTAAATATTATATTGTCTTACCTCTAACCATAACTTATATATATATATATTTTTTTTTTTTTTTTTTTTTTTTCCTTTTCTCACTTTACAACTATAAATATTATTGATAAGACTTTATTTCTATGTTTTAAAGTTTATTATTATTTAAATTATTGTATATATTGTTAGAATTTTTATTAAGTTAGTTTTTGGCCTGATGTGTATTATTTTTTTTATTTGTTCATCGTTATTATTCTGAGGGGACTTTGTCCCAGAATAAAGTATATATTTTTATTCTATTTATTTTAAATATTCACTTTTGTTATATGTAATCCTATCAGTTTAGTGTGTGGTACCTTTTTAATTTACTTGATAAAGTTTGATCTTCTAATCCTGTTCCTGTGTTACTAAAGTTTATATAAAATTACCTATTAATTTAAATTCTATTATAACATTTATAATAGTTTTGCCAAACATCCCCCTTGAGCAATTAGTTTGGATTACACAGTACTGTAAATCTAGGATTCATGTAACATTATTTATTTATTTATTTTTTTTTTTTTAGGAAATTGGCTCTGGATGTACTGTATGCAAAGGTATAGTTAGCTTCTAGCACTATTTTAAAGAAAATTAATTTTTACCTAGTATTGTGGAGAAAATGGAGGATATTTTGTTTACAGCCATTTTTGAAATTTGTTTTTGTGAAGAAAGCCTACAGGTTTTCCTGAACTACCTAAATTATGAAGTAGAATTGCACAAAGTGTGTTTATACATTTATTTCCCGGCCTATTATAATTTTTTTTAGATATTTTAAAAGGAAAATCTCAAATTTTTAATATGATATTTCTTCTTATTTTTGCCTTCTCGAATCATTATATGTACAAATTTCAAATAACTACTTCCATTAATTTTCAATATTCAATCCTAGATCATGATCAATTGATGTCACAAGTTAGAGCTCACTCACACTGCATTGCGTTTTATGAAATATTAAATTTAAAATGTAACAAACCACTTTCATACTTAAAAATACACTAGAAAACAATATTAAATGGGAGAAAAGGCTTTAGTTCCTTGATCAAGGAAACTTGATTAGTCATAATAAAATAATGTTATAAAATATAAATTTAATTTTTTTATGAAATGTCAGCAATTGTTTATTAGTGCTTGTCATTGAATTAAATTAGAAACTTTAAGAAAATTCCAGGAGAAAAACTCTTGTTGACTGTGCTAAAATGTCGTGATATTGTGTTTAAAGTGGCAAAAAAATCCCAAATTAAGTGTTTTCAGCTCACATCGCCTCAGCTTGAATTTTGACCTGGCTATAGAGGTAGAGCAGTAAGAAAATAAATCTTTTACAAACGAAATAAACAGAAAAAAAAGATCAGAGTTTGTCCGAGAACATGTAAATAAACCCAACATGTTTTGGAAAAATGTATTGTTTTCCGATGAAAACAAGTATAATATATTAGGATCTGATGAAAAAAAAAAATTTTGGAGGAAAAAAGGAAAGGCATTTGAACCCCAAAATCTACAACCAACAGTAAACCACGGTAGGAGCAATATCATGGTTTGGAGCTGCATGGGTGTCAAAGGAGAAGGTGAACTAGCCTTTAATGACAAGATTATGAATACTGACAAATATGTGAATGTGTTGCAATGCAATTTAAATAAAAGTGTGTGAAAGTTACGAATGGGGAATACAAATATGTATAAGCAGAACAACGATCCCAAGCACATAGCCATAAGGCTCGTGGAACCAATGCCAAGAAGACTCAATACTGTGATAAATATTTTTTTTTGCGCGTCATATTTGAAAATTTTGATATTTTTCATACGATGTGAGTTATCAAATTTTACTTGTCTGTGCAATTAATGCGAAATGAAGTTTCTGATTGTTATCTACAGTTAATTTATGTTTAAAACATAAATAAAAAGATTTTTGGATAAAAAATATGGTCTACGAATACTTTTTTTGGCCACTGTATGTTTAAATATAAACAAGTAAAAAAGTCAAGAAGAAAAAGAAAGTAAATGTTAGATTATAATTGAAAATATCCAACCTTACATGCTTATCATGTCTCTGAACTAAAATACTTTTAAAAACAAACTAATATATCAACATTTTGCTAATTCAGAAGAAACAAGATCATCATTCATGTGTTTGGATGTCATGGAGGGATCTGATCTTGTTTTTTCTGTCCTTATTATGCCTAAATTAGGGAAATTATTGAAGGAAGTTAGTCGACTGTTCTACATATCATGGGTGATAAATATTCAGAACGCAGTCATTGTTAAGTTTTTATTAGTGCCGACGTTTCAACCCAAACATGTGGGTCATCATCAGGGCTGAAAATTTTTAAATACAATCAGAGACATAATATTATACGACCAACAATGGATAATAATAAACTATAGTGATTGATGGTACATGAATCTTAACTAATATTACAAATGAAATATGTAAAAAGTTATGTATACTAAAAATAATGTATATAATCCATTTATAAAACTTTGTAATAATTTCTCTTACTAACTGTGGTTTGAGCACTGAAGGTATTCAAGTACTGACACATTTGGTAGCTAAATGAAAGGATCAGGGGATTTTCCAGTTGTCCTTTTTCAGATAGCAAAAGGTAGGTAAACATAGTCAGAGGGGGAGGGGAGGGAGGTAACATTGCTGTTTGTAGAATGTAAATAATTTGCTCACTAAATATTCAAGATGTGTACAAGATTTGCTTTATTTCTTATGGTTACAGAATTGTGACTATTGGCTAGTAATGAAATGAAACATGAGGTGCCAATCAATATAAATATAACATAGTTTGATTGAATGGTTAGCCAAATAATATTTATAATAAAGACAGTTGTAATGGATTGAAGTGATATGTAGGACAATATTTTAAGAATAACAATATTAATCATAATAGAAATATGTTGTTAAGCTCCCTCTTAGTTTATGTCAAACTTCGAATGAAGCCTAACTATTTAATTGTGATATAACAAAAGAAAAAAAGAAAGTGGATTGTATCTTGAAACATTTACGAAATTTAATCCTGATAACATAAAAACAAAAGAAATCAATTTTACAATTTGTTAGATAGATAAAATAAAATGACAAACTTCTTGCATAAAAAATAAAGACAAGCTGAGTAATGGTAATAAACAACTGTGACAATATTTAATGAAATATTTCCATGCTTGATCATGAAAATAAAAAAACTATTTATATGGCCCAAATTACAATAAAAAATGGAAAAAAACAAACTTCTCTAGAGTCCCAAAATAAATTATATATATATATATATAATTATATATATATATATATATATATATATAATAATTATATATATATATTATTATTATATATATATATATAATAATTATATATATATATATATATATATATATATATATATATATATATATATATATATATATATATATATATATAATTTATTTTGGGACTCTAGAGAAGTTTGTTTTGTTTCTATTTATATATATATATATATATATATATATATATATATATATATATATATATATATATATATATATATATATATATATATAACGAAATAATTAGGTTGTACAACATTACGTGGACGAAGCAGGACTCGTAACTCCGTCTCTATGCAGAAGCCAAGTGTAGATTTTCAATGAGTGTGCTCAAAACGAACTGCAAGTGGTGAGGGTGGCTCGAGAGAGAGAAGTACCTCTTCTAAGTTGGACTGCAGTGCATCAGTTGGCAGGCCTGAGCTCTATAACGGACGGAGTCAGACTGTGTATTGCAAAGTCTACGGGCTTAGGACTTAGACCTAGGGCCTGTTTATAGCTAGGGCTACAATCCATAACAAGTAGTCCAAGTATAAACTACTGATCTGTTTAATATAAACAATATAAGCTATGGGCCTATAATACTTAATATACACTTATCTTATACATAAATATACATATTATTAATTGATTTCACTTTGATGAAATAAATCAAATCAACAATTAACCCAACTATAGTTAAATGTAAAATAAAAATAAATTAATACTGTGTCGTTGTTAAATGTAGAAATAAAATAAATTAACGCTGTGGCGTTAACATATGTATTATATTAAGGATTACATAGTTTTAATATTATAAGTATAATCATATCTGTGCCTGTTTTGTAGTATATATTTATATTGAGAATTGACATTATATATATATAATAAATGTAGGAGTAGTTACCTATATAAGTTGACGGGGAATGGGGAAAATGAAAAACAAATTTTTAATAATTATAGAATATTGTTTTAGGAGGTAGAAAATATTCGAATATGTGTTGCAGATCTTTTCTTTATCTACTTTGTGGTTTACCGGTTTATTTTTTTTTTTCCAGATTAATGAATATAGCTTCAGAAAGTAGTCGTTTTTGATGATTGGGAACTGTGGCAAGTATGGTTGGGTTTTTAAAATCAAATGTGTGGTTGAGGGTTTTGGCATGTTCAGCTAGTTTCGAGGGGAGTAGGTTTCATGTGGAGATGCTGTATTTGCCTTGATATATTCGTTTTTTTAAATAGTTTTTGGTTTCTCCTATATAAGAAGAATTGCAGTTTGGGCTAGAGCATGTGATATGGTATACAATATTTGGTTGTTATAGGAGCGGAACAGGAGTAGTTGAGTTTGGTGTATAAATTTCTTAATTTACTGTTATTTTTGAAAACTATTTGTAGATGGGAGATTTTGGAAGTTAAATTTTTTTCGAGATAGGACTGGGATGTATGAAATGGATCTGCATTGGCGAATCCTGCTGGGAGATTGAGAGCAGTTTGTAGGAGACCGATGAAGATGAGGTTTGGATTGATGTTTAATTAGGTTTTTTATAATGTGATCAGGAATGGCATTGGATTTCAGGATCTTGTGTACTTTAGGTAGATTATTGTCGTGGAATTGCGGGTCGGTTAATTTTAGACTGCAGTCTATCAGGTTTTTAGCTACATTTTGGTGGTGAGGATGTTTGGAAAAATAGTTTAGGAGACGTCCGGAGTAGGTAGGTTTGGTGTACCAATTAGTGGATAAGATATTATCATTATTTCTGGAAATTAGAAGATCTAGAAATGGGAGGGAATTACTTGATTCTATTTAAATGGTAAAATGGAGTCGAGGGTGGTATCAGTTGAATGCAGAAAGTATGTTTGTAATAGTGTGGGTGTTGAGGATTAATAAAAGGTCGTCAACATATTTTTTAATGAAAAAAAATATTGGAAAATAGGGGTAGCATCGAATCAATTAGGTTGTTTAGGACACTACGGGAGAGGTCTGGTGCAAGGCCATTACCCCTCACCAAGCCGGAAGTTTGATGAAAAAATTTGTTTTGAACAGATAGGTAGCCGGAGTTACAACATAGAAAGAGGTACTGAAGGAATGAGGATTGATTGAGGGAAGTGTGTGGTTCTATGGTAGACCAATTGTCTTCAATTATTTGGAGAGCACGGCCTGTGGGAATATTGGTGAAGAAACTTTCTGCAACAAGGGAGGCTAAGATATAAATGTGGTGGTATGCTCAAGGATTTTAGTTGATCTAATAGATGGAAGGAATTTTTAATGATGTATGGATTGTGT